GAGGAGGCTCAGGGGATCTTATCTGAAGTGCTGCAGCGCCTCAGACCACCTTGGCAGCCACCCCAGTGTGCCCATGTCTCTCTCATGCTAAGGAGCTCCAAAATGGATGTCAGGGCCCTGGGAACATCCTCCTCTTAGGAGCTTGGTTAGATCAGGTTGGTGACCCGATCCAAGGTCTGCTCCTTTACTGCTGAGCACGGTTGTGAGGAAAGCCAGGACCTGGGGCCTGTCCTTCCCTCCCTTGGGAGCTGTCTTTCGGCTCTCCGTGCCCAAGTTGCACTGCAGCCGTGCCTGTTGGGCGTGCTGTCCTGGGCATGCCATGTCCCTACCTGCGGCATTGCATGCTACTTCACCCTGCCTCTGCCCTCCCGGCGAGGCCGTGGTATGCAGGCCTGAAATAATCTCCTCCGAGCACTGGGTATAGCCTACCCAGATGCGGGGTGCCTGCCTGCTTAAACTGTCTCTGAGGTTCAGCTGGTTAACAAACCCATCCTGCTCAGCTGGTATGAGAGAGTAGCTGTACTCCTCTGGCCTCCAGATTGCCTTTCAAAGGGAAACAGTGCTTGAAAGCCATAAAGCTAATTGATGTACAAATTCTGTCTATACAGTAGAAATGGTATTTTGTTTCCTATTATGAGCCTATAAAGTAGGAGAAAATCTGTGAATAACAGTTGCTTTGTAAATATCAGTTATTGGGGCAGGGCTGGAGTGAAGGGAGAGAATCATGCATCTCCAGTACTTTTTTTTTCTTTTCTTTTGCTTTAAAAAAAACCCCATAGACAAATACTTCCCTGCCCCCTCCACTGTTCCCCACTGCATTTATGGAATCCTATTTAATTCAGAAACATGTATTTTTCCCTGTGTGGTGGCATAAGAGGGCTGCAGGTGACTCTGGAGGAGCTCTGGAACTCCAGCTGCTGGGTGGGGAGAGGCTGTGTCTGTCTTTTTATCCTTCTCTATTCAGCAGAGTGTGATCAAGTAGGTATTTTGAAAAGCCTAGTAAACAGGGCTGACAGTGCTTTGGTGTTTTTTGAACCAGCAGATTAAAAAAAGTTGTGAGTTCTCTGTTTTTCTTTTTTAATCTTGCTTCTGTATTGTTTAAAGTTGGCAGAGATTTTCTGGTCCATATACTGGCTGAATTGCAATGGCATTTAGTCTTTGGAGGCTTGTCTTTTCTTAGCTCTGCCTGAATCCCTTCTCCCTCTTTTTTTCCAGAAATTAATTAACCTGAAAGTACATACCATGCCATTGTGGGAGCTTTAAAGAGTGTGATGGGAGATGGGAACATACTGTAGATGATGAGCTGCTTGTGAACCTGGGATTGTTCAGCTCCTTCTCCTGCGCTGTAGCATGCACTGATAAGTGCTACAGACATAGACCCAAGCCAGGGATTGACTCAGTCTGTGACCCTCTGCTCAGAAAGCTCTTGTTTGCAGAAACATATATCCCTCTTCCCATGCTCATTGCTAGCTCACTACCTGTCTTTTTATAGGAAATAGTACACTTTATCCTGTTTCTTTCCTGTAAATAAAAAAGTAAAATTGAGAACATAAACATATCAAGAAGATTATCCTCAGTAAAATATCTGCATACACATTAAATGTATATACTAGCAAAGTTAAAGTCATTAAATTACTAATGGTTTTGTGTATTCATTCCAAATTTCTCTATTAAACAAATTTTAAGCAGGATAACCAAAATGACCAGTTTAATGAAGTGGCAGCATTTTTCATGTCCTGGCTGATATCTTCAGCTGTTATTTTTCCTTAATATTAGGAAATTAGCTATTTCAGCTCAAGTGACTCTTCATATCAGCAATGCTGTAGTAAATATATTCACATTGTATCCTCCCTGTATTCCAACTTGAAGAGTACTTTTCAAAACTCAAGTATCCAGAGCTTTCATTGCAGCTAGACATTATAAGAATTTTACTTCTACAAAATTCAGAATGCGGCACTCAGCCTGTTTGTGTGAGCTTTATTGTTTCTTTATTAAAAAAAAAATATATCTGTGAAGTGATTGAAAAAAACTGAGGTCCTGGTATGTCTACATTGCAGTTTCTTTTGTGACTGCAGGGGTAGTGCAGCCATTGCTTTGCTAACTTGCGTGCCAGTACCGCACAGCATAGGAGAGGCGTTGGTGCCTGGTTGTGTTTAGCTACGTGGCCAAGCTTTACAGCCCATTCTGTAATCTCTGCTACTGCACCAGTAGAGCAGCTGAAGGTTTTGCTGCTTAAAAGGTTGTTTGGACATCTCTGCTGCACTAACTGCAGTAACTGGAATATTACTCTTCACTGAATCTGTGCTCTGCACAACAAAACCTTTGATGTACTTGCATTTGTCTGTAAGTGTGTACCTGTTGTACGGCTAATTCTGGAAGCAGACCTTTTTTTTTTTTCTTTCTCCCCATTGTAGGCGGTTTGTGAGACACTGGAAGCCCAGAAGCCCAGGGTAGATAAACTTGCTGAAGAAACAAAGGCTTTGGAGAAACACGGTTCTTCGGATATAAAAAAAGTCTACACGCAAGAATTCAAGCACGTGCAGGGAGACTGGGACAAGTTAAAGCTCAAGATTTCCAAAGATGTTAAACTACTGGAGGAAATTACATCCAAGTTGAGACTATTTGAGGTAAAATGAAAGGATTTTTTTTGTTAAGTAACTCAGTTGTTTTAGAGCCCTTTCTTTCCCTCTGTTCCTGCAGGAGTCCAGATGATACTGATTGAGAACTGAAATGTTGATGGGCCACTAGTCTGGCAGAGGCTGGAAGCATATATACTGATTTGTAGCAGGGTAGCAGAGGAGTTTCAAACGTCTAGGATATTATTTTATCTTCTAATAGAATTATTTTCATTTAAAATTAGTATTCTTCTTCTTTCGATACCAGAAGCAAAGGTTACACTAAAGTGAAGGGTATGTCAGCTGTGCTGTTGAAGCCTTGATCGCACCAGGGGCTGAGTGTCCTCTGTTGTGATTGGTGTCAGATGCCCAATGCATTACTAGTTTGATATCTAAAACTGAAATTCCATACCTGCTACAGAAAACCTGCTCCATCTGGGTTTCTGTCAACAGTAATAAAGAATTAGTACTGCCTTTTAAAAAAGGAAGTACAGAAAATGCTTAGGTGTAGTGAGTTTTCCAGTTCTAACAGATGGCCTCTGAAGGGTCAGGAAGGAGAGTTAAAGAATTAAGATTAATCAGCACTCTTATGTATTTTTAAAATATATATATATACGCACACACACACGAAAATCTCAATGCTTTAAAAATGAAGGTATTAAAAGCAAGGGTATTTAAAGGGTATTTAGATGTTTAACCTATTGATAAAGAGGGGGGAGATAAGAAGTGCATAAGTAACTTAACCGAGGCTGACTCTATTTACCAGTTAGATAAGTTTCTTTGTGCTTGCTTTAAGTCCCTTCTCTAGACTACTTATGTTCCTCTGGGGAAAGAAAAAAAATAATGAAAACTAAACATATCATGATTTAGCCCATGGCAATATTATTGTGACCCAAAAGTTAAATAAGCATTAACCAGTCTTCAGTATCAGCTTGAAAGTATAAGTTGATCAGAGCAGTACAAAAGCCCAAATATAGTGTTGTTTTGTGTTTTGTTTTTTTTTCCTAGAGTAATGTTTAGGTAGACTTTAAATAAGTTTCATATTATTTTCATTTTCATAGTATATTTCAAACTTCAAAAAGCGAGAAGGTGCTTTTAGATATTCTCCGTCTCTTAGGATGAAGGGACGTGCATTAGCTAACAAATCTATTTTTACATGCATTAAACATATTTTAATGTGTGGAATGATTTACATTTAACAGAGTATGTATCACAGAATTTATGAACATAAGCAACTTGCTGTGTGCACCCTCTTCAGAACATTGGTGTCATGCCTGCACACCACCACTTTTCCCCAAAAGTTTCTTTCAGTCTTGCTTTCCCCTCCCTCTGAAGCAGAGAACTGTTCTTTTATTTGATAGTGGAGTCAAACTTCAAACTCAGTGTTTGTTTGGGGGTTTTTTGTGTGGTTTGCTTAAATTTTAAGCCAGACAGGATCTTTAATGACTACTCAAGTATAGACACGTGTTTAAACTGAAATTTATATTAGAAGGGCCAGGTAATTGACTTGCATGATGTTGCAGTGAAAGTTGGACAAGCCGTTGCTGATTATGATTCGGAAGTAATAAGAGCCTCAAGTCTTTTTTTTCTTTTCTTTTCTTTTCTTTTTTTTTTTTAAACCTGCAAACCTGTAAGAAGTTGTAGTAGGGATAACAGATTGTAACTAAATGACAATTAAGAGCAGAGCACACACTCATGCTCCCATGAAAAGTTTTACTTGGGGATGAGGGCTGGAGGGAAAAACTTGCTCCTGCTTGTGAAGTATTATTGACTAATTATTTGTTTCAGGACTTGAGCTGCTCCTAGCAGTGTGTGTGGGACGTGTGTGTACAAACAGCGTAGGTATGGTAGTCCAGTCTAGGCTAGTGAACTTGTAAATGGAAGCCACAAACCAACCTATGAATAGGGGGGAAGAATTGCAGATTTTCAGAGGAAAAATGTGTAATTCTTTTATATAACACTTTTGCGTAATATTGTTAGGCTGTATTACTTGAAACATAAAGATAAAAGCTGTCCCTACCCACCCCCCCGCCCCCAAAACAACAAAAAACTCACAAAAAAACCCCAACAAAACATGTTCAGGAATACGTGTACATGTTTTTGTGCACCTACATTTGAAAGTTTCTGTTTTCAGTCTGTTTCCTTCAAAGCCATCCTTCTGCAGCTACTTGCAGCAGCCTATGGGGTGACTTGGAGCTGTGGAGGAGCTGATGCTGCTGGTCAGCAGGAGCCAACTGCCCAAAGTGAGCTGGCTTGTACAGGAGCCTAAAGGAAATTAACTTCTAAGGCTTAGCCAAGCCCTCATTAGTTTTTCTCCTGACTTAGACCTAAATGTACAATATCCCACCTTGTCTCATTCTCTTCCCTTCCCTCTGTTTCTAGTTACACTTACTAGTTATTTAGCATGATAGAATAAATAGTCTGCATGTAAGCCTGCCTCAACATCCTTTGTGCAACAACTTTCTATCAGTTTTGTTCTTCAAGTGATTGCAGCTTTCCAGTTGCCCTGATTATCTGTAGCTACACTGAGCAAGACCTACTTACCTCATCAGTTTTAGCAGCATTTTTTTCTCCTTTAATTTCTTGTAAGTGCAGAACTCTTTTTTTTTTTTTTTTTCTTTTTTCTTCCCTCTGCACTTGAATCATGTTCAGTTGAGTGGTCTGTACATGCACCTACTTTTCTAAATCATGGCTTTAACTGGGTGAAGAATGGCTCCTAAAACTGAAATTATCTCTCATGTTTGAGAGAGTAGGGTACCTGTGTGCAGTATGAGCATAGCAAGTTTTCATTTAGTAATCAATTATTCAGTTTTTTTAGCCAAAGGTGAAGTACTTTGTTCTCCATAGCTGTCCAAAGTGATGTTGGTACCACCATGAATCAATCAGTGGTGAAAGATGCGGATTTTTATGCCCACAGGAGTTTTGAAGAGCTATGGAGAGCAGAGCATTGAAGCCACACACTGTTGTCTTGATCTGAGAACAGAATTTTGTCCTGAGAGAGATGTTAAAAACTTTCCTGTTACTTTAAAAAGAAGTACAGATGCTGAAAAAAGAAATTAAAGCAGAAGAAACAATGGAAGTAATTATTAAATAATTGAAATTGGAAGACCTATGTAGTAGTGCTACCTGTAGAAATATGGGGCTTACAGTGTTTTTCATGAATTAATTCTTAAGTACACAGTTCCTGTGTTTTCTAAATGTTTCTTAAAGCTGTCAGTGGATGGACAGTCATGTATTTATAATCTCTGATTTTTTCCTTTTGAAGGAGAGGTATTAATCTATACAGAGATTTTTGTAGTCTGGCACTGTATGAATAAAATGAGAATGTGGAGCAAGTTGAATAAAAATGTTGTGGACAGCACTGGAAAGTTCAGGGTGAAGCTTGAACTGCAAGAGAGATTGATATGGGAGACTAAGTATGTGGTCCTGGTGCAGACACTAAATGGCTCAGTACCGGAGACGTGATACCAGAGAGACATGATTAGTTTGGAGAATGGCTGGGCAGTATCTTCTTGGTTAAGAGAGGAGATGAGGTGTCTGGCTATTAAAGGAAAAAAAAAGAAAAAGAAAAAAAAAAAAAAGAATTTAAAAGTAGGGGAGAAAAAAAAAGAGTAAGTGAATGGCAGCCCTTGGAGAACATGTAGGCATGTGCAACTACACACAAGTGTGGGCTTACTTTTAATGTTTCTTTTTTCCTAATTCACCTTTAAAAATTGACATTTCTCAAAACCGCGCTCCTCACATTTAGGTTTTTGCAAAGAAACTGAACATAAATATTCTCATTTTCACAGTGAGCAGACAGGTGACCAGTGCTTAAAATGTCCTTGTTAGTCTGATGGGCGAGTCAGTGGCAGATATGCCTGTGGGTCCTGCTGCTCAGGTGGCCCTTCTCTGATTTGTAGTGTGACAGAGGCTCCCCCAAGCTGACAACATGTGCATTAGTAACATGATCTGTGTTTTACTGTGATACTGTCTGTAATAGTCATGTGAAGGGAAAAGTAGACAAGGCTCATTTTATCAGTTTTGCATCTTGTATTTTCTAGAAGAAAATTTCTGTATCTTGTATTCTCTGTTATCATACCTGTAATAATACGTAGCTTGCTGTGTCTTTGATTATGTATCACCTTCAGTTCTTTTAAATCTACTGCATGGCTGTACATCGTGTTTTTTCTAGAAGTGAACAAGTTAAAATTCAGCACATTTGATCTTTGTCCTTGCCTGGAATAAATTTTAGAAACTGATCCAATATTTTACTTCATGTCTAAAAATTGTGAACTCTTGTACAGCAACAGTCTACAGTGGGTATTTGACCATTGGTAATTATTTACCTGCTCAGTGTAGGAGCATTTACTTCATTAAACTTCTGTAGACTTGGCTTGTGATTCAGCAAGCTATTTAAATGTGTGCCTAACTTTGAGTAATCCCATTTAATTCACTTCAGCTATTTATGTAAGTAGCTTGCTGTAAGCAAGCTAAATTAGGTGTATGCTAAAATGCCTTGTCAAATGGCAGCCTTTATAAATATGTATTTTTTACATTAAGCCATGTTTCACTGTTAAGCCTCCTGGGGTCTGTTTTTTGGAAAATGATTTTCAGGCTCATCAGCTGCAGGAAATTCCCCCAAAATGGAAAAGGAATGAAGAAAATGTCACGACTTTGACCTCTAATGGTACCATTGGCCTGAAAATAAACATGATCTTAGTCTAATGGTTTTTCATTAGTGCAGACTTTTTTTTTTTTTTGAGAAGCAGTGTGTAATGTATTGATCTTGAAAGAACCGTTATTGCCAGGTTTTTAAGGAAATGAAGTGTGTGCTTTCCTCCTTGGTGACATGCAGAGTAGAAGGTGAAGCTGATGAGCTTTGACTCAGCTTCTCAGTAATAGTACTCTGTGATGATGATTGTGTCAGAAAAGATGCCATCTATTAAAAAACCCAACCAAGTAGTCCAAAAATGTTGATTAAAAAAAGGCCAACTATATTTAAAAATGACAATCACATAACTCAGTTGAAGCAGGACAAGGAAAAACTTTCTCCCTGCTCTAAGTTTGTGGTGGTTTTGTTTTTGTAAGGGTGATTGGGAACATCCACAATTGCATGGGAAGGAGATGACAACCCTCCTGTCTCCCTCCCTGCCCACCTCACTCCAGGATATGAGGCCAAATGTTAGGTCAGATGACTCTGCAACTGTGTATGTATTTTTTTTTCCCCTGTGCATTGCTCTAGTGAGTACAGTAGCTGCTACTGGCCTCAAACAGCTAGATTTTTTTTTTTAATGGTTTGTCTAATCCTCTGTGGTGTTTTCCTTTTACACCTGTGTTTCTCTGTAAGGTGAATAACTTTCCCAGCATTGCTTCTGCCTGTCAAGTATGTTTAGCATTACCCCCTCTTCTTCTCCCCACATATATATTTCTATAGGGCCCTGTCTTTTCCTTGGAGTGCAATATGTCTCTCAAATGAGTGTGTGGTGGAAGCATTTGTACATGGTTTCTGTCATCAGGAAAATGCTATCTCCAACTTTGAGCCAGGTCCCTCGTGTGAAGGGTGACCACATGCTCCTTGAAGCCATGCTTGCCTCCCTACTTGATCCTGTGTTTCTGTGTGATAGCTTGGAGCAGTGCAGTGTTGTGTCAATTAACCCATGCTGTGGCATGGATGTAAGAGTATCACTGTTATGAATTTAATTTTCATATAAATGTGAGAACAGAGAAATTGGAAGGGGAAAAAAACAACCCTAAACAAAAAATGAAGTCGAAGATGGTCTGATTCAAAATCAAAGCAATGCTAGCAGCTTGTAGAATATTTTTTGACACTGCTAGAAGTTGTTGAAATGCAACAGCCATACGCTCTTCATCACGGCATTGTATCAACTCTTCATTATTATGTTTGATTTAGGCTGATTCAAAAGTGGTTCAGAAGTGGATGGATGGTGTGAAAGACTTCTTAATGACAGAAAAGGCTGTTCAAGGAGATACTGAAGGACTTCAAAGACAACTTGACCAGTGCACAGTGAGTTTTGCTTTTTTAAGGAATCTTTTGAAATAAATAATGACTAGCGTCTCTTCTTTATTTTGCTTCTATGATTAAAATTTTGTCCATGGCATGTTCCATAAAACCTGTGAGAAAAATTGTCTTATATTTCTTCAGGGCATATTTTAATTGGTTCTTCATGTGTAACCGTAACGCTTTGTACTTTTCAAAGGTCTTTACTATATTTACAAAAACTCAGCTGCAAGTTGACATCAGTTCCTCTGAAAATGTTTGTATATTTTTCCCAATTTTGTGATTAGGGAATTGAATCTGTGAGTGAAAAGTGCTTTCTGCATTAAACTTCCAAGGGTGACAAAAATAACAAGCAAATAACTCTAATGAAACTCCTAGGGTTTAGGAGTTGTATGTGCCTTACAAGTAAGATTCCTTCTTAGCTAGTGGCGCATAATCATAGAATCATAGAATGGTTTGGGTTGGAAGGGACCTTAAAGATCATCTAGTTCCAACCCCCCTGCCATGGGCAGGGACACCCCCCACTAGACCAGGTTGCCCAAAGCCCCATCCAACCTGGCCTTGAACACTGCCAGGGATGGGGCATCCACAACCTCTCTGGGCAACCTGTTCCAGTGCCTCACCACCCTCACAGTGAAGAATTTCTTTCTAACATCTAATCTAAATCGGCCCTCCTTCAGCTTAAACCCATTAACCCCTGTACTGTAACTACACTCCCTGAT